AAGTTTACAGCTGGGACAGGTACACATAACTTGAGGCATCTCTAGTCCATCGTGCCCACTGAATAACAACTTTGCTGCTGAAATTTCTTAAAACTTACCAAACTAAAACAAAAGACTGAATGATACAAAAGGAAGAGTATTTCAGTGTAACTGTCAATTGGCTTTTTAAAAAAGGAAACACATTCTGTTTCCCCAGACCAGTAAATAAGCAGGAGCTACATGCAGCACTGTGAGTATTAAGACATTTCTCAAGTCTTCTCAAATGAGTCCAAAGTGGGGATGGAGTACAGGAGGAAACTGGTAGAAAAACACTGCTATAGACACCATGACAAACAATAAATTTAGATAATTTAAAATTAAAAAAAAAAAGGCAAGAGGCAGCATTTCAGCAGCAAAGTGCTCAATAAAAAGTATATCATAGAGGGTACAAGAAAGTTGGGATAAGAGGGCAGAAAAATGGGTCATCAGGAGAGGTGAAGGCCTCAAAGGAAATACGGCGTCGTCGTTCTGGGAGGAATAACACGTTCTGAATCTGGAACTGCCCGGAATAACTTTGGTTCTCTTGTATTCACATCTTTGAAGACCATGATGGAAGCGATATTCCCACAACGATAGCAGTAGTTAGGAGCAGACCACACGGTGACCAGCTTCTCGTCAAACATAAACTTATAGCCTTCATGCACAAGCTGATGTGCTCTGCAGATGAGTTTTAAATTGTTGATATGAACAAACTGCAATTTAGAAAGGCTTTGTAAGTATTCAGCAAATTTTTAAATAACACACATATATATGAAACCATTTAAATAAAATACAAAATCCCGTTACTACTAGATTTCTCATGACTTTAGAATCTATTATATAATTATCTCAATAATTTCAGTAAGTCTGGCAAACAGACTTGCTTTAAGCTAAGTCAATTACAGTTATTGAAATTGTACTACGAGCTGGGCATGGTGGCACGTGCCAGTAATCTAGTTACTCAGAAGGCTGAGGCAGCAGGACCACCATCAGCTCAAGGCCAGCCTGGGCTACAGAGTCAGTCCTAGGCCAGTCTGAGCTTTGCAGAGAGACCTGCGTCAAAAAAAAAAAGACAGAAAGAAAACAAGAGTTTAAGCCCTGGTTCCACCAAAAAGAAAAGAAAAAAAGCGAGAAAAGACATTATTCTGCCACATATTACAGGTATATACCTGTAATTCCAGCACTTTGGGAGGCTGAGGCAGGAGAACTATCAGTCTGGACAATTGAGTACTCTGTCTCCAAAAATAATAATAAAATAAAAAAAAGAAAAACAAAAAAGACCCCCCCCAAAAAAAGAAAAACTACAAAAATTGTTCAGCTATATAATTAATTAGAAATTTCTGAACTAGATGCAGTATCACAGGCCTAGTCTCAGCTACTTGGGAGGCTGGGACAGGAACACTAGTTTGAGACCAACTTCGGCAACATAGAAAGACATCTCAAAATCAAAAGAGGTAAGAGTTGTGGCACATGTCTGTTAGCAGCACTGAGGAGGCTGAGACAAAATGAATACAAGTTAGTTCAAGGCCAGCCTGGACTATACAGTGAGATCCTGTCTCCAAAAAACTAAACTAAACTGAAAGAGAAAGCAGAAAGGGAAGGGGAATGGAAGGGAAAGAAAGGTACAAACACTGTTTTTAGGAGAAAACTTCCAAACATATTATCAGATATTAAACACTTGTTTTTTTTTTAATTTTATTTATTTGTGTGTGTGTGTGTGTGTGTGTGTGTGTGTGTGTGGCCAGCTCAGCCCACCAGGGGGCGGGGCTGGCTAGCATGTGGTACTG